GACCATCCATTTTTTTCTCCACCATGTAAAAATATATTTTAAACAGAAGTAGTCTTCCAGACCTCTGCTGTACCAGTTATGAGTAAGTAGACTGATTTCTCTTGCTTATTTAATAACACCATGCTATGGCAAGTAGAGCGGGGCACAGGCAGTGCTTGTTTTCCTTATAGCCTTTTCAAAACTAAAAGATGCAACATTGTTTGGTTTAAAAAACAAAAGCAAAACATGCATAGGCATCTCTTCCTTTTCACAGCAGGCCTTCTCTCTCCCTCCACCCCGCCCACTGTCATTCCTGTTGAGCGAAGCTGACTCTGCATACCGATAGGTATTTTGTCTCAGAAGGCTGTGCTGGGAATTGAAATTTTCCCAGAGGGAGGGGATCCAAGAGCAGCTGTGGCCAGTGTTAAAAGACACTGTGCAAGGGGACAGTGACGTTCTTCACATATAATGTACAAAGCTTGGCCCCTCGCCTCAGTAAAAGAAGATGTGGGCTGGGGAAGAATTACATAAATCCAAAGAAAATGACACACTGCAAAAGCATGCTCTAGCAGTTAAAAGTAAGAGAGATTATACGTATTGTTCTCCTGTTACACTCTTCAAGAAGACTATCGTGGCTGTGCACATCCCAGAAGCTACGAGTCCTGAATAACAACCATACAGAATATTGTTCTTTAGAAAATTGCTTACGGGTTAGAAACAGCCCTTTGGCACTCTTGACTCCTTATCTGTTGTTATGAAGAGTTTGTGTAAGCTCTCTTGATCTCTTCAGTCTATTTCTGTATGGATTTCCAGAAGCCATTTACTAAATCTACGTTAATCCTTAAAAATTCAAGCAGATTTTTTAAAAGCAGACTGGTGATAGAAATGTTTTATACATACTCAGACCTAAGAGAATAATTATGACAGCAGTTTCCCAGGATTACATTGCCTCAGTGAATGGTGAGCCCACAGGCTGTTTCAGGCTCTGACTACCTCCTATGCCCTTGTCCTTTAAGTAGCACAGACACAGTTCTACTAGAAAAAGGCAGCAGATTTAACTCAAAGTGGTTACCACACTGCCACCGACAATTACTAAGTATCTTAAATGGCAAGTATATTATTGGTGTATCAGTTTGGTGTAACACTAAATCAGCTGCATAATTATTCTGAATTTTATCATCAGAGCAATAAGACACAGTGAGCAGAGATGAACTGCAATTAAGATGGGTCTTGAATGTTACTGAAGAGTTCCTTTACGTAAGGAGTCCAGATTGGGAAAGTTTGTTCCCCTACAGATTTCTTCTATAACCGGAAGAACCATAATTCCTCCCTGAAAAAAGAGAGGGGGTTAAGACAGGCTATTTACTCCTATGCCTCAGCTGAAAGCATTTTCATTTTTCTTTAAGAACAACAAGAACTAAACAAAATCCCGTTTATCACTCATAGATCTGTCTAGTTAGTTAGCTCGCATTACTTTTACAGCAAATTGAGAGACTCGGGTTTGGATTTGCATTCATCCTTCCTAGACTAGATAAACACTTCCTGCTAATCCCCAGGGAGTAAATAAAATTCAATTCAAGGACCAAATTTCCTGTAACTAGAAAAGGTGACTTCATTACTTGTGTCTCAGGAATCCTGGATACCACTGGAATCCATGGAGACAAAAACCAAGGATACGTGTGCGGCTGTGTGTGTATACAAATATGCATGCACATGTGAATATACAACATGCACTTACACATGGATATACATACACACACACACACAAAAGGCACGCAGAAACAGTCTTTTCTTATATCCCACATCCCATTGTTAAGTAACCTCTGATCCTGGACAGCTTCTTCAGATCAAGGTCCTTATTGAGGAGAACTAAGCTTTCCCTCCCTTCCCTGCCACCGTATCAGGGGCATTCCTAAATTAGAGTGGATGAATCCATGCCAACTTGGCTGATGACATCTTCTAACAAATACATAGGTTGCCAGTAAAATCACTCTCCCACCTCTTAAACCACAGATTAGGAAAACAAACATCTGCGCATTCTTGCTTATGTGTTGCAACAAGAGCAAACTTTGAATTTGCCATGAAGCAGTGCACAGGTACATACATGCTCATCCTACCACTTCAGGCTCCCGAGACATGACCTTTTCCAGTCACAAAAAGCAGAAGACAGGAAATGAATCCATTGCACCACTTCTATCTAATGCTTCCTACAGCACCAGCTCCCAGGCTTCAACAGCAAGCTTCATAGACTATTCCGTTACTGAACAACTGTATTTTAGGATGATGGAAGGAAGAGCACTTAAGAGGAAAGAACAGCTGTGCTAGATCAGCCCCAAAATCCACCTTGCCCAGCATCCCATCTCTAACACTGGATGCCAAAAGAACTCCAAGGCAGCCATATAAAACACAGTATTTTCCAAGCAGCAGCTACTTCTGACCAAGGAATGCTTGGAGCCAGAACAAACACCTTTGTACTGGGTGGTGGGGCAGGTGTTTGTCCAAGGTTATCCAGTTGCTTTTTAACCCGCACAGATGCACTGCAACTGGGCATTACTGATAGCACACGCCTGCAGCTTCGCCATCTATTGCATGAAGAGCACTTTTGCCTCGTCTGAACTACAACTTGCTGACTCCATTTGATGCCCATCAGCAGATGGGAAAAAAACATGCTTTGTCTTTCCCAGCCACAAGCACTTTCCACCCCATTCCAGATCCTGGAGATCCCCACAATGGCTCTCCTTAGCTGGCTGTCATCCAGCCTGCAACCTACACTGTGGGTCCCTGTAGAGAAACTACTGAGCAGCTTTCGTTATCCTCCTTGTTCTCCTCTGCATGCCTTTCCCAGCACTCCCAAAACTCCACCAGTGGGTGAGCTCCCCACATTACAACAACTAACCCAGTTTATTTCTAAGCTGCTTTTGTAACTTCTGCCTTACCATTCACCCTTGTGATAATGCCATCTTACCATGTGGCTGCAAGATTTCTCTACAAGCCATGCATATGTAGCCTTTTGAAATTCCAGGTGTAAATGGAACTCATTTCATTCATCAGTCTCCCTCATTCTTGCCACTGACCTTTTCAGAAGGAAACTTCAAAATACTTCAGAAGCAAGATTTCCTTTTCCAGAAGCCACTTTGACTCTTCCCCAGACTACCACATTCACCCAACAGCTGTTCTGGTTTTGTAAAATACTTCCCACCACTTTTCCTGGCAGAGATGCCAGATTTAACGGATGACAGCTTCAACATGTCCTCTAGACTCAAACCCATCATCACAAGAAAGGTGGGTTGTGTGGTGCCAGACACACTTGCCCGGTACCACAGTAATTTGAAGCGGGAAGATTGCACACCGTGCTTGGCAGAAACAACATTTCATCCACTGAGCTTCCTGTCACCAGCTCTTGACATCCACCCATCTGGCCAGCCTGCGCTGTAAACTCTGCAGCCAGCACTTCCAGTTCCAGTGACTTCAATAATTCTGGCTAAAGGAAATACCTACTTACGAAACAGAACAATAAAATTTATTTCCCTTGTAAAAGAGAATGTATATTAAGCAAATACTCAGTAGTGTTTGTCCTTTTCTTACTTTTTTTTTTTTTTTTTAAACTCATGCACATACTTTCACTCCTTGCAGGACAGAACTGGAATGCAAAAAGATGCTGAAACAGAATGATGGGTTTCACCAAAATGTAAACTAGGGTACCTTCCCAAAGTAAATGTAAACAATTCCCACAGCACTCAGTATCCATGCGCACTATCAGGAGGTGGACGTGACAAGACGACTGATTACTCACTTGAATGCTGACTATCCTGGGGTATCTTTTTAATAAACACATACATTAAAAAAAAAATATATATATACACACCTTACCTTTTTTAAAGCATACACAGAGACTGAACCGAAAGAAAAGAGAGAAATTATCAAAGAAACATGTTTGTCTCAAAAGAGGTTAAAAGAATTGGTTTATTATTTCTTCGAAGACCTTGGATAAAAATTATTTCAAAATAAATTAAAAATCTATGCCGCTGATGTGCATACTAACAAAACAATTCCACCTTCCATTTTTATTCAATTTTGCTTCCTCTAAGTCCTTCAAAGATTATTCTGGTGATATTTTGTTCATGCACTGCAAGTTTTGAGCACTGAACCATCACCTAATGGTGAACCCTTTACCTGAAGAGTACCTATTACCATCATCTGTGCCTGTTCAGTCTACTAAAAATAATAGTCCTGGAAAGCTGATCTACAAACTTCAGTCAGGAGACTCTACAGGAGAAGTAATAAACCCAGATGAATTGTGTCAGCTAAATACTTCTGGCAACAGTGAGAAAAGCGATACTAATGGCTAACAGCCACATCCAAGCTGGTATCAGCAACATGAGGAAAATACAAAACAAAACAGTTTGCAGGATACTACACAGCAGTAACCATACACGCTGCTATTTAAGTAGGTATGTTCACATCCTTCACAGGGGACTTCCACCCATCTGGCAATGCTGCACCATCAGGAGCACTGCTACAAAAAGCTCATCTAACCTTCTGATGTCTCCCAGTGCTATTGGGTTTTGGAGGCAGGAGACCAAGGTGCCACAAAATTTGTAATGCATCTAGAAATAAACAGCAACCATTTATGCCTACAAATGCATACAAATATATTTGGGAATACAAAGATATCTGTTGGTGCAGCTTTTTCTTTTCCTTAAGTTTTAAAACATTAGCACAGAGGAAAGAAAGCCAGAGGCCAACCCAAGTTTGGTAACCATGATTTCTACAGGGGGTAGAAGCTTTATTCAGAAGTGTTGTTACTTGCAGCTTCTATTTCACGTGTTATACAATGAATGCTATAATGTGCATTAAATGTTGATTTTCTAATTATTGTACAATGATACATAAATTAAATGTTTTGCCACACCAACGCTGTCTAAATGCCCATCAGCTGGAACATTTAGGCAATCTTATTCTGTTGCAGAGTGTGTCTTGGTAAACCAGTATCAGAAAACTGCAGCTAGAAAAGGTCCTACCTTCTCTTCCTGATGTGCTCTGTTGGCATTTTCCATCTGAAAGCTGTGCAAGGACTGGATTTTGTCAATCTGCTGTCGCTGCTTCTCTAGCTCCCCTTGGAATTCATTCTTTTTGAGCTCCACAGCACCTCGCTCCGCTGCCGCCCTGCGGACTTTGCCTTCCAGATCCATGATCCGACCCTGAGGAAGAGCAAATTAATCAAAGCAAATATAAATGCTTCCCCCTTGCCGGACTCTTCTCCAATACATTCAAGGAATACCAAAATTTCACAGAACTAACAATGTCATCAAAATATTGTGTCAGCTGGTGACAACTGCCACACACAGAGACACACACACCAGTTCTACATAAATTACCAGTACAGCATATTCTGTACTGACTATCAAAATTTCAGTTAAAGATAATAGAAATGTAAAGTTGCCTCAGTACTTTAGCTTAAAAAAAACCCCCCCCCCCCCCCCCCCCCAAAAAAAAGATTGCCAAATAATTTTTTAAATTTAATCCAGACAATTCTGACACTTCCCAGTTTTGATCCTGAACTAACTGAGAGGGAAAACTCGTCTTTCAAATCAATACATTTTCCTGGAAGACCTGGGAAGGAGTAGGAGTACACCACTGCCCACCTTTTACATAAACAACTGACATATGACTGGTACACAAAGACTCATTTACAAGCAGAAAATTATTGTTCTTCTTGATTGCTCAAAGAGCAGTGACAATCAGAGGAAAATTCAACACCATCACATACTGCACATACAAACACAGAGACATAAGGCGAGGAATCAAGCCTGGTGCTATCACAGCTTTTTTTTTTTTTTTTGCCTTCCCCCCCCCCCCCCCCAAATACGTTTTTATTTTTGGCAGACTCTGTTCATTTTGGGTTAAAATCACTCTTTGGCAGCAAGGAAGAGTACAAAGACACACGGGGGCAGGGGGGGACGACAGCAATATAAAGAGAATTTACCCAGATAGAAAGACATGGGGATTCCAGGTGGATTAAAATATAGTGTAATAAAAAAAGTGCTCCTCCAAGACTCCAAGAAAATGGACCAAATCATCTTACACCACAGTATGCTGCATATTACTGCCTGCCTACTCTGCTTCTCTGCCACAGAAAGCAAGAAAATGGCAAGGAGGTGCGGGGGAAGGAAGAAAAAAAAAAAAAAGGGGGAACACATTTGCTGTTTAGCTGGAAGAGCAAATAAAAGCAAAGCACTTACCCCATTTCATTCATAACAGCAGCAAAGTCTTGCCCACAAACAAAGAGACTCACAGACTGCTCTAGATGCTCCACCCACTTTGCTTTTATTTCATTAGGAGAGCACGACTATGCGGAAGTGAAATGATTTTCAAGCTAACTTAGGGTCAAACATACACGATGATACAGTAAATCAATAACAGTAAAGAGGGCCTTAATATCTCTAGGTTATTGACAACAGGAATAAGCTAGTATGGTAGCTTATTTTCCTCAATATCAGCTGCCTCACAGCCATGCAACAAAGCTTCAGCAGTACTGACACAGTTACTACCTGCTGGTAGCCACCATCCTGAGGCCGCTGACTAAAGGGAAAACAAGGGATGACTGGAGTCCCAGAGACATACCCCCCACCAAGGGAAAGTTAAGATACACCCTTAACTGCACGGCCAGAGACACGTGTCCTGCTTGAACAGTGCCCGCTCTGAGGTGAAACAGGAGTTCAATTCCTACAGCTGTCAATTCAGTACTAAAATTCAACTCAATTGCAAAGAGGATACAAATTCAGCCTTACTTAGGAGGAGCCCTCATCAGCTGTGTTTAATCATCAGGTCATTAGCTTTTAGGTTTGCTTGTTAAAAACAGAAAAAAAAAAAGAAAAAAAGAACCATCCTGCACACATTGTCACAAACCAGAAACTTTATCCACATACTCCTCAACTTCAGAATGCATGCTCCAGAAGGGATTAAAACCCAAGCTCAATTGTCGCAGAAAATTGTTACCAGTAGAAAAATAGCACACAAAGTAATTATTCCATGGGAGTTGCATGCCCTCTTTAGGAAAGATTTCTAAGAAAACGGAAATTCAGATTTTCAGACACTGGTTCTGAACAAGTTAGATTTCCTTGTACTTGGTGGGAAAGCATGCATACATCCTCATGGGTCATGTAAGAAAAAAAAATCTAGGGAAATGAGCAAATTGCAGATGCCCATTCAGATTAAAAAGAGTGCCAGTCTCAGTGTACACTTAGGAATTAAAACAAGAGGATGGCATTTGCCACATCCGCAAACTGAAATGGCAGAAGATAGCTGAATGCTTTGAGTGAGCAAAAGTAACAAAGTATCATACAAGCAAGTTCTTCAAGTTTTGGGTCCCCTGCACCTACAATGTTTATTATAATGGACTATGTTTATTAAACACACATGTACAAGATAACATGCAGAGCAATAGGAAAGTTACCTGCAAATCCACGCTGCGAGAACTAGCAATCCAGTAATTGAAACCCAAAACAATGATGCATGCCAGGAGCGCAGCCACAAGGAGCGGTGGAGACTTCATCCCTCGGCAGCTGTTTCCTAGCCCTACCATTTCAGGAAAAAAAAAAACCCGAAGAACCACAACAGTGTGGAAACCTGCAAATTAAAATAGACACATTATATTGCATCTTCCACTACAGCTATTTTATACACAAAATGAAACTTTTAACTGCAACAATGCAACAGCTCTCAGCTGAAGTGACTACACCCAACAAGGAACGCACACTGTCTAGATATTTCCATCTGAAGGACTAAGAAAGGCCATCTTGTACAATTAGCTTGCACGTAAAGCTTCACATGGACTTGAGGGGGAAGTTTTTAATATTTCTAACAATATAATGAAAGTCTGCAATAAACAGAACAAGCCATCCTTCCTTTTATCATCTATACCACCCAAAAAGCTAATTAGACAACACTGGTCTACAGATAGAGGGCAGATTCCTTTTTATCTCATTTAGTCAGAAAATAAGCTTAGTCTCGCTGTTTCAGGAGTAATTTGCACTTTGTTTCCTAAACTTGGGCAGTTTCAACTTATTCCATCTGACAATACTGTTTTAACTTTTAGGTTCCCAGCTTGTAAATAAATAAAGCGATCAGATTGAACCAAATTACTTTAAGGATAATCTAAAGAATAAAAATAAAAAAAAAATTAGCAGACACTCTGTTGATTTCAATGGTAAATTGTATTAAGAGATGTTTCCTTTGATCCTCAGCAGCTTTCTGTGCTCCAAACAGAAAATAAATAACCTTGCTTTAACGAATGAGCCGTACCAAGGGTGCTACCGGTTGCTATTGAGACTTGGGTTGTTTCTGTGGAACAGCCCATAGTAACAGAAAAGCAGGGGCAAAGGGCAATTGCAATTCTGTTTGAACAAGGCCATATTTATCCTGTAAGATGATAAAATCTGGTCCTAATAAGTGCAATAGCACCTAGATCAATGAATCCTCAAACTCCACTGGGAATCTTGGATGCGGTTTGTAACAGGTTGCTCTCTTGTAAATCGAAATCAACTTTTTTTTCTTTTTGCATTCCTCCAGAGAAAAGCCAGGAAAAATGAGCACAGAAGACCAAACAGGCAGCAAACATGGATGTATGTCACAAGACACCAACCGACTCTGAAATGGGTACATTTACCAGTAATATATTGTACCGTCTTTCAAGGTGCATGCTCTTAAATAAACCAGCTTCTTCCCCACAGATGCAATTCACAGGTTGTGATGTATTTAAAAATCTATAAATGGTAGGAACTCTCAAAGGGTTTGCATGTGGAAATACAGTGAAATCACAGGGGAAGAAGGTGATGCCAGCATGCACCACAAATGCTGGTGCTGCAGTATATCCAGCACTGAAGCCCTTCAGCAGCTCACCAATACTCAAGTGTTGCACCCTCTGCAAAATCCCCTCTCTGCATTCAATATAAGATATAATCCATTTTCATCTTTTCTCAGCAGGGAGTGGACAATACTTCCACACTGCTGAAGGTTTCAAATCTACTTGTACATTTGAAAAGTTTGTGAATTTGTTTATATTTGGGGACAGGATATACAGGGAGCCCAAGAGTAATATGTGGCTTCCTGAAAATGCTGCCTCTTTGTGTACATACACACACACAAAACAAACCCAAAAGAAAGAAATAACAAAAGCGTGCATAGCTACACAGATCCAATACCCAAGTCCCAAGTTACTTGCCTAAGGAAACTGCAGCTACGTAGCAAACCAACACATGCAGCGCAGCTCTTGTGGACACCCACGGGGCCATGTACAGCTGAGGTAAGGTCAACCAAAAGAGCAAAGGCATGGGGAGAAACCATGCATTTTTGTTGTAAAGCAAAAAAAAAAATCAAGATGCAGTAGACTAAAACACACACACTGAGATACGCACAAATTTCCAATACAAAGCTAAGAACTGCAGAAACACACACACCTTGCACAAACTACTCTCCTGCTGTGCTATTCCTAAGAGGAGTGCCTGAGAAATACAGAGCCACCTCACTTTACACACATTCCCTGAAAACCACAGATCTCCAGAGTGGCAACAATAAGGAGGTGGAAAATGGGGATGATCAGCACCACCACATCAGCTAAGAGCAAGATAATTCACTTACTTTTGCTTACTGGAATACTACATTTCAAAAAATGTGTATCAGAACCTGTCATGAAGTCATTCGTCTCCTTCGCTGGAAGAGTATTAGGTGGTACACACAAAAACATGGAAAAATTACTAAACATAGCACTGCAAGGCATAGTGCACCACTCCAAGTGTTACTCGAATAAAATAATTGGTATTTTCCTCCTAGCAGTCAGAAATAGAGAAAGTAGTCCACGTTATCAGCAGTTAACAACTTGCACTGGAATTTAAATACTGGATAAATATATGGGACTAGCTGTTTAGCTTGAAAATTTTCAGCGGTAAACCAACTGTATTGTTGAAAGAATGATTAACACATCATGCAGCTTAAAGCACAGGCACAAAACCATGTTACAAGAACACTGAGACACCTACCAAGTACACAAATCCAGCAGCCTCAGTGACTCTTCTGCTGTTTTCAGCTATTAAACACAAGTAGGCAAGAAAGCATTGATTTCACTAAAGCCTGTTTGACTTCAATACATTTTTCTCTTTAGAAAATCCAGAGTTGTTTGCCCTTAAATAATTTATGTTAATCGGGAATATATTTCTATACTCAACAGAAGGAAAGGCAACAGGAATAGGGAAGAGATGAAATACACAGAGGCATCTTCCATCTGAATAGTGCACACCCAAAACATCATCTCAGCTGCAATACTGATATTCCCTCTCTCATCAGTTTAAAAATAAAAACGGTTTAATTTCCTATCATGGATATACACATGCATGCGTTTTGGAGGAGAGACAAGCAAATCACTTCAGTATGCACATTTATGCGGAAATTTATCTGTACATGCTGTTTTCCAGGAAACATCTGGTTTGGCACAGTTATTTGAGTTGAAAATAAAATACGTTTCTGATTTTATGGATAAGAAAGTGATTTTACTGAACATGAAGGAATCCATCTTTCATGAATGTTTACTACAGATGTGAAAATGAGATGCTCTATCATATGCATAATGCTCCACATTTGGTAGAGCATAAAATTCCCAACTTCCGAATGGCAGATTTCACCTTTCTGCCTTGACAACCTAGCAATGCTTCATTGACACAGAGATGGTTTAGACTCTGAGGTATTCAAGCAAATTAATGTGAGCAATTCCTTCTTTTACTGTACTCAGCTGAAGTAGGATAGCTGGTATCCAGCAATCTTCCACTACAGATAATTAACAACCATACCGACTAAGTCATTAGAGACAAAGACAGCAAAACAATTTGCATATTTCAGACTCCCAGAAGGAAAGCCAAGCCTCTCTGCTCATAAGGTCTGCTCACAAGGTCCAGCTCTGTGTATTTGCATAAGACCTGCTGAGCAGGCGCAAGCAGAACAGATGAAGAATTCAATAAAAGCAGCGCACAGCCGGGGGAAAGCAAAAGGGGTCCGTTATCCCCCGCCTGCCTGCCGACCGCCTCCTCCTCCACCACCCAGCCACTGCATGGTACAAAGCCAGTGTAAACCAGCACCGCACACAAAGACCATGTGCAGCAGGAGCAACCACTGAAAAATGAAGGCGTATCTTAGGCGGAGGTCTGTGCGTCTGAGTAAGGACGGAGCTTTAGGAAACCCCTTCGGAAAGGCAGGGCCATAAACAAGAGACCAAAAGGAGGAAAACAACTGACAAGGACCCAAGGGCTACCAGACAGTGCTGAGAGGACACACAACCCCACCCCGGCCACACTGGCTGACAAGCGACCGCTCTGCCCAGGCTGGTGAAACCTCCTCACACTGAGGGACCCTGCAGACAGACAGTGGTGCTATCCCCACCTTTTGCAGATTCCTCCCCAATTTCTCTCTGAGATTCTGGAAGAAATTACCTGCTTTTTCACATATTGCCATGAAATTCCTATGTCTGACTGCCTGAATAAAAATATACCAGCTTAACCAAGCAAGCTAATCAAAACCTCTTCAACAATAACAGCTAGTTAGTTATATCCACACAGGACTGAATTGGACTAAAAGGTACTAGAAACTATAAAGGTACTAGAAAACAAAAAACCCACCAAACTAAAAAAAAAAGTAACTCGTAAAAAAGTGAATTGGAGAGCAAGCATTTGTGCACCCAGCCTTCCAAAAAAAGGTGATGGTTTGGGCGCAGGTAGAGCAGTGAGAAATAGGAGCCAAAACCTTTCGTTTTTAGTTTTATGTATGGTTAACATACAGTAATGGTCAGCCTTGAAAGATAAATCGAATTGTTGGTTCTCACTCACAGCTGGATGTTACCCAGAAGTACCACCATTCACAGTCAGGTTGGTAAGAACCAGCTGGAGCCAGCAGCAACCTTCATGCTATCAAGAGTGGACTGACTGCCTACAGGGGTCAGAAACTGGGTCCAATACACTGTCACAAAACATGGCACAGGAATTTCTTACCATCCTCTGCAGCAACACTGTTTGGGAGTGGGGTTTTTTCAAGTTTGCAAGGGAAAAGAGGTCAAACAAACGTTTTTCCAATGGAGATTTAAAGTTTGCATGATGAACTCAAGCCTGCTGACCACAAACTTTCTAAATACCTTTCATGAGAATCCACAAACTGCAGGTTGAAAGAATCAAAAAACCCCAAAAAACCAAAAACAAAAGACTCCTGAAACACACAGCAACAGCCACTTCTCAGACTTCTGTACTTTGGACTGGCTCACTTCAAAGCGGCAACCACCTGAAAACCCAATAAAATACAAACACCGATGCTGCAGGATGTCACTGAGTCACTATTTGCCCAAGTTATCAAGTTACACTTTTCACAAGGAACAGGATGGGGAGAAGCATTTACGGTACAACACGTTTAGCAACTGCACTTGCATCCTTCTTGGGAATAACTGCCATTTGATACTCAATTCGGCTCTTAGTTTTTCCTTCTCTAATGCATTTTAAACTACAAGTAATAGATCAGAAGAGCATGAAAATATTGAAAAAGCATTATGTGTTCAGGGGGAAGGTGACTGTTACCACTCCTCCACTAACTATTTTTCAAATCGGGAAGTATTTCTTCTTTCAAATTACTGCTTCACGAGAAGTTAATAACCAATCACCCATAATGTGATGTTCTTCCCTTCAGCTGATTAATGAGAAACCCCAAATACATGCTTAGCTAAAGAGATGCCAGAGGTTAAGCTAAGTATCTATTCTGATGAAGGGAGTTAGGTAACCAAAGATAATTTGACAAAAATCTTCTAAAATACCCACACGGAGTTTCCGGACATGCCGTCTAAGTATACTTGTAGACAATACCACTACCGCCTGAAAATACTACGTAAGAAAACCAAATTAAACAAGAAAACTTATACACCAGCAGGACCTCAACAGTCTGTCAGTCAGACAGTTGATTCCTTTTTCGGAAAACAGTTTGTTGTGGTATTTTTCCCATACCACACAAACTATCTTGTTCAAATCACAATTAATAGGACATCCACCTGATTTCAAAAGACATGAGGAGACAGAGTACTCTAAGTTTAGATATGTAGAGAGAAAACCACGAAATTGCTACCATCCCCCCCACCCCTGTTATACTACATGTATGGTTCTGCTATATTACACACAAACCTCCCCCTAGGAAAAAAAAAAAAATCAACATTGCAAATAGTTCTTTATGAGCAACGTGCTGTTAAGATGTAAGATGAAGGGCCATTTACAAAAATTGAACACAAGAGCAAAGTTAATTAAAAACCTGATCAACTACTCCCACCTTCAAGTTGACAAGAGAATCCAATAAAGCGAAGTGAGGTAAAGCTCCTGGGTGCAGGAAATAAACCCAGTATTTACTGTGTACCCAAGAGCTCAAGTGAAATTTCTGAGGAGGTGGGGGAAACACTTTACCAAGCAGAAGGTGGAAGGCTCCTGAAAGCATGAACTTGTGAAAAGCCACTAGCCCCCCCAGCGAGGGTAAGAAGAGAGGACCCTCTGCAGCTCTGCCCACCGGGAGGGAGATTAGGGAACTGGCTCAGAAGATGGAGGAGGGTGAACAGCTTCAGGGCTAGAAGGGACCTCGAAAGACAGTCTGGTCCAATCCTTCCACGGAAGGGGAGCCCGAAGAAGATCGTCTCACACCCTGCCTCCTTACGGCCCTTTCCGATTTCTAATATCATCATTAACTCTACCTCCACTAAGAATATCCAAAGTGGTTTGGGGCTCAACACACTCCTCTCTGTGCAAAAGACCCAAAGATGGAAGGCTGACTGAAGGAAAAAAAAAAAAAAAAAAAAAAAGGAATTAGCATGTGAGTGATTCCTCATAGGGACAGACCTCATTACACTGGACTTCTGTTGCCAGAAGCTGTGTTCAAAAAAAAAAATAAAAAAAAATGCC